TTGAGAAGAGTCTCATTATCCTTGGCTTTTTGCTTTTCCATATGAATTTCAGAATCAGCTTTGTAAAGTTCTTTAACACAAGTTTGTTAAACAAAACTTTGGGATCTTGCTTAAAATTTCAGTGACACTGTATATCAGTTAGGTACAAGTGACATCTTTTAAAATGTGAGGTTCTAATATGTTACATTTGTATATGTCTCCATTTATTTGGGTCTCTTTATTGGCTTTCATTAAAGATAATCATATATCTTTGGTGACATTTATTCATGAATACTTTAAATGTTTTAACACAATTATAAATTTAAAAAGGGTATAAATATTAGTTTCTACTTGTTTTTGGTATATAAAAATGTACTTTTTAAACGTTGATTTTGAAAAATATTGATTTTGAATCTGAGATATTAGCTAAACTCTATTTCTAATTATTTATCTATAGTGATAGTTTTAATTTTTTCCCATCCTTGACCATCTTTTTCTTTTTCTTGCCATTCTGTTTTCTGAAACCACTAAGTGAAATGTTGAAGAGAAAATGCTTTCAAGATTGCATCAAAATTATAAGGTTTGCTGTAGGTTTTTGAGCAGGTTAAGAAACTTGTCTTTCTATTCCTAGTTTGTCAGAATGTGATATGATGGGTGTGAAATTTTATCAAATCATTTTTTATCAATTGAGATGGCCATGATTTTTCTATTTTAGCCTGATCATGTGAAGAATTACATGAATTGGTTTTCTAACCTTAAAACAATCTTCTATTCCTGAGATAAACCCAATATGTATCACTAGATTTATTTCTTCCTACAGAATTTTTTGGAGCCTTCTAGACAGTGAGATTGTAGAAATTTTAAATTGTTGATTCAATGGCCCTGGCTGGGTGGCTCAGTTGGTGGGAGTGCTGTCCTGTACACCAAAAGTTTGTGGGCTCAGACCTGGTCAGGGCACATACATAGGTTGCAAGTCTGATTCCTAGTTGGGGTGTGTCCCAATCACTGTTTCTCACATTGATATTTCTCTCTCTCTCTCTGACTCTCTCTCTCTCTCTCTCTCAAATCAATAAATATATCCTTGCATGAGGATTAAAAATATTGATTCAATGTATTTAATGTGTATAGGCCATTTAGGATCCTTTCTTCTTTATTAAAAATGGTTCTTCAAAATTTCCTATTACTTTTTATTCATCTGTAGAATCTACATTACTGTCCCATTTTTACTCTTTACATTGGTTATTTCTGCTTTCTTTTTTAGCCATGCTTGCCAGAGATTTGAAAATTTTACTCTTCTCAGATGAATTACTTTTGATTTTATTGATTCTCTTATCTATTTGTTTCTACTAAATTTTTGTTATCTTAATTTATTCTGTTGTTAATTTTCTAACTTCTTACCTTTTATACTTCTTTTTCCCCACTTTTTATACTTATTAATATTCAAACTTTTTTTCTTTCTTGATAATAAGCTATTAGGCTATAATTTTTCCTGTAAGTACCAGTCTGGCTTCACACACACACACACACACACACACACACACACACACATTCTTACGTTATTCTAATAATCTGAGTTCAAAATATTTTCTAACTTCCATTATGATTTTTCTTTGACTTATAACTTAGGCTTATACATGTCTTAATTTGTAAACCTATGCAGGTTTTCCAGGTTCTTTATTGTTCATATCTAACTTAACTGTGTTGTGACTAGAGAATGTGGACATATAATACTTTGGAATGTCTTGAGGATTACTTTACAGTGGAGAACTTAATTTTTATAAATGTTCAAAACACATTACTTCAAAACAGTACATTCTGCTTTTACTAGGTTAACTGTTCTGTATATGACTATTAAACAAAGCTAATTTATCGTATGTATTACTTTGCTAGAGCTTCCATAACAAAGTACCAGACTGAGTGGTTTGAAGACAGAAATTTATTCTCTCAAAATTCTGAATGTTAGAAGTCAAAGATTAAGGTGTCATAGGGTTGGTTTCCTCTGAGGCCTCTCTTCTTGTCCTGTAAGATGGTCATTTTCTCCCTGTGTCTTCACATGGTCTTAACCTCTGTGTCTGTGTCTTAATATCCCATTCTTATAAGGACATCATTAGATTAAGCATCACCCAGAGGACTTCATTTGAACTTAAATTAACTCTTTAAGACCCTCTCTTCAAATATGGTCACATTCTGAGGTACTGATGGTTAGAACTTCAACATATTTTTTTTGGTAGGAGGAGAACAGATATAACATTATACTTTTAAAATTCTTTATTCTCATAACATTTTTTCCTTGCTTCATTAGTCAGTTACTGAGAGAAGCATTAAAATATTCCACTGTGATAATGGATTTTCTATTTCTCTTAAAGTTCTGTCAATTTTTGCTTCATATTTTTGAGATTCTGTTTTTAATATATATGAGTTCAGAATTCTTATAGGTATTTGGTGTACTGAACATTTATTATATACTTACCATCTGCTGATGCTCTTTGTCTTGTATGTTTTTTGTCTGTTTAAATATAGTTATATTAACTTTATTTTTGTTAGTATTTGTGTGGTAAATGTTTCATCCTTTAATTTTCAACTATTTTGTCCTTATGTTCTTTCATGTGTTTTCAGTCTGATAGTATTTTTCTTTTAAACAGATTATTAAGTTCTTTGTTTTTCTTATAATTAATGTTTTAAAAAATTTTAATACCAACTTACTCTTTTGTGAGAGATAGTATAGCATAGTCTTTAAGAGAACAAACTCTAAGAAATACTGACTACATTTGAATACCAAATTCTATCACTACCTGTGTAACTAGGTAGTAACTGTATAACTACCTTAAGTAGTCTTTCGTTTAGTTTCCTTTACCATAAAATAGCTATAATAATAACTCTGCCTTGTAGTGTTGTTATTAAGCAAATTAATGTACCTAAAGTGCTGAGAACAATGCCGGGCACATAATAGGTACTTTATTTATTTATTTATTTATTTATTTATTTATTTATTTATTTATTTCATTGTTATAATTATCATTTTAATAATTTTTCTCTTTTCTTTCCTTTTTTTCTTTCTTTTATATTGATAGAATATGTTTTTATATTCCACTTATTTCTCCCCTCCAGTTTTAAAATTCTATTTTCTGTTCATTCTTTTAGGGGTACCCTAAAAATTTATCAAATATACTTAAGTTATCAAAGTTTAAAGTTCTTATCTTTACCCTCTCTTGAAAAACACTAGAACTTTATAGCACTTTAACTCTGATCATCTTTATTTTGATTTATACACTGTCATTTAGTCTAGTTTTACTTGATTTTAAACCTCATGAATTATTATTATTCTTGCTTTATATAATCAATAATAATTTAGTTTTATACACATATCCATTATTTTCTTTACTAATCATTTTTTTCTATAACATAAATTTTTAATCTGGTAACAATTTCTGCTTGAATTATAGCTTTTAAATTTTGTCTGCTGATGGCACTATTTTTGTCTTTATTGTCTGAAAATACTCACATATCATGCTTGAAAAAATAAATGTAACAATAATAGGTTTTGTAAACAAATTTAGATTGATAGATATCTTCTTTTAGCATACTGAAAATAAAATGCCATAGTTTGTAGCTTCCATATTTACTATTGCAAAGTAAGACTGCTTTTAAAACCATTGTCTTTGGTGTTCTTCAATGTTACTAAAATGCTTTAAATACAAGTTACCTTTTAATTTGTCCTGGATGGTTCTTAAACCTGTGGATTAATGTCTTTCATCAGTTCTAGAAAATTTTCAGTTATTATATCTTTAAATATGCCTCTACTCTTCATTTCTTTATGGAAGTCTTATTACATATGTTAGACCTAATCATTCTATTTTTAATGCCTTTTAACCTCTTTTATATTCTGCTTATTTGTTTTTCTGTTTCATGATGATTAACCCCCTCAGATGTTTTCCATTGCCCTAATTCTCTCTTTAGCTATTAAAACTATTCATAAAGGTTTTAAAATTTCAGATGTTTCTATCACTAGAAGTTATTTTTATTAATTTCAAAATGTATTTGATCATTTAAAAACAAACCTTTTTTTAATATATTCTGTATCTGGTAGGTACAGGATTTGAAGTCTTTCTGGGTCTGATTTGGCCTTCTGTTGTTCCTACTGGCTCTCACTTAGTATGTATTGTTTCTATGTGTAATTTTTCCTCAATCTCTCTCTCTCTTCCTCCTCCTCCTCTCCATCCTCCTTTTCCTTCTTCTCCTCCTATATCCTATTTCCTCTCTCCTATTTGTTTTTACTATGAGGTCATGTTTCTTAAAATTTTCAGTGATTCGCTGAGGCCTCATTTGGTGGGGCCATTCATTTCTGCGAATTCCTTGGGAGCACATTTTGCACTGGGCCACTTCAAACAAAATTATCAGCTGAGCTTTCTTAGAACACACAGGTATTATAAATTCAGTCAGTCTGTCAATTTGTCTGCTCATTGGCTTGCCATTGAATATTTTTAGGGGAACTCTTTCTTCCCTCAATCCAACACTAAAACTCAAGACTAACAAATTTCCTTGTAGATTAGAAGTATGGTGATTTAAAAAGACCATAACCTTTCAGGTATTAGATTTATGTAGGGAGCTTCTTATTATACTCTTCACTTAAGCAAACTCTTAGTTTTGACATCTCTCCCAACCAGGGCCTTATATACAATTGTGCACTGCACTAATCTGGGGAGCATTTTTCATATAATTATATGCTAAAGTCTATATGACATATATAGTGGGCCTATCCTCATTTCCACAAGATGGTAAAAACTAGACTAAGTTCAGCAATTGCCTCAAACTGAAAGCTGAGTTCAGCACTTTGGTTTTATATTTATACAACTGATGGAACTTAAATGAGTAGTGTCTCTTCCCTGCTGAAGTTCTCAATAGCTGATGTATTATACTGATTTGCCAATCATCACTTCAATTAAAATATATACCACTTGAGCCATTAAAGAAAACATAGTATGACAAGAGGGTGCTTATTGCTTTGCTTTGTTTATTTTTAGATTTGGACTTTCCAGTTGTTCTCCAGCCTACAAATGCAAATGAGAAAACACAGCTTATCAGAGAAGGAGCTCGAAGTTATTGCACAGATTCTTAATACTGAGTCCTTGGAGGGTCCACGGTACTTCCTCTTGGTTCAGCCGTGTCTCCAGGTGGTCATGGGGAGAGGATATGGGGCATGGAATACTGTGAACTTTTCCACATTTGTACCTTATTTTTAGGTTAGGGAAAGATAACTTTCCCTACATAACTTTCTCAGTATGCAGACTTACTCTTTGAGTAGAATTGCTAATGAAACATTCCATTTCAGCAAATAAAGGCATGAAGAATTGTTTTATGCTCCTTGCATAAGGTATGAAAGTGGCACTGGGCAGGCTTTGTGAGCCTTTCCTTTATGTGAGCCAGACCTCATTCCTTACACACTAAAATAGTATTCCAAAACAGAGGCAGCTTTTCATCCATATAACTAAATGCAATAATCATATCTGCCATAAGTATCATCAGCATAATATACTTAGAATTTAGGAGGAATTTTTCATTTGTAGAGATTTTTCCCTGTCAACATTCAATATGGCTATAGAAATGTTTCAAGAGGCAGAAAGAAATTATTAGATAGAAAAGCAAGCCATATTGTTTTAAAGTATACATTGGAAAGATTTTAGATTTTAATTTACTGAAACTGACAAGTAAAACCAGAAAGAAAGAGGTTTCTTATGTGCTTTTAGTTTTGCATAAAAACAAAAACAAAACTCCAACCTGGTTAAATGTTATAAATGATCCAGAAAATCATTCTGAGCCCAAATTAGTTCCAAACAATGTGTTGACAATTTTTAAGCAAAAATAATTTCTGCACAACTGACCTAGATTAGCTTGACTAAAGAAAAAAAAATGAGGTAAAGCATAGAATTCTAAATTTTATAGCCTAAACTGAGAGGCATATCACTTATCTCATTTTTGGTGGGATTAATTACATTGACCAGAAAATGTTTACCTTCATGCATGTTAAACATTTAACCTTAGAGGTCATCTTTGCATTTACTTATTTGATCCTAATATTTATTATGTGGTGGAATCGATGTGCTATTCATGAATAGTGCAGCAACAAAAGTGCTTGTTTTGCAAGGTCTTTCTTAGATCTTTATATAACATTGCATTTTTCAAGATCTTGTTATGTTTTATATGATATTATGAAATGCCCTTTTCTTTTTTCTTTCTTCCTCATTCCCCTACCACCAAATTAGAATTAATTGAGGTAAATATACTTTGTGAAAATTGGTGTGATACCTCTAACTGTTCTGATGTTATTAAAACTCTGTTCTAATTCTTGAGTTGCTGGATTTTTTAAAATCAAAATAATCAAGTAGAAAGAGCCCTGGTGTAAAGGTTAAGAAACTTTCTAATTTAAGTTCCTGCTAATTAGCCCTTTGACCAACTAAGATGAGAATAATATGGCTAATCTCCCTGTGACTCTGTTTTCGTATCTGCTGTCATCTTCAATAAGACCATGTGAAAAAGGTAAGATGAAAGAACTCTGAAAAGTCAAGTGTTTAGCAAATATAAAGCAGTCTTACACCAATTTGTATATATGTTGATTCACACAGGAAAATGTAATGTGAACTTATTTTATAAACTCTCACCAAACAAGACTCATGAAGATACCCAACACTATCAGCCCCAATGAGGAGCTCAGAACTTGAGACAAATAGGCCCACCTGTGGATAATTGGATCCACTACATTTCCTTCCCAAGGACTGAAAGCAAAGGTCAGGCCTATTTTTAAGTAACGATCTGCACATAACAAAGCTCATCTTCTCTTTCTCTCCTAAACCTCATTTTTCTCTGTCACATGGAATGTTTTACTTCCACTCCCAGCTTGTCCAGAGAGCTGGTGCAAGAGTGTCTAAAATGAGAACAGGGCATGAATCAGATTCAGAATGAGATGGTGAAATTAAATTCCTGAGTGGGTCCTGACCAATATTTCCCACAAAGGGCCAGTTTCTAGTTACAATGATGTATGACAAATGCAAGCACACAATGTCTATGAATGAGGAAACTGATTTCACAGAATATCCTTTAGCTACACAGACACAAGGATCAACTCTTAATCCTTAAGGAGGGGCCACTTAAACATCTGTGGGAGTCAACAAGTGCTGTCACTTGGAATCACCAGCAGTTATTCTGAACTCACAAGCATCTTAGCTGAGAAACATCAAGGAAATAAGGAACATGATGCCTATGATCTTTAGCAATGGTTGCAATGGCCCTGGTTCATGCAGGCTCAAATGAACCACCCCCTTCAGTGGCTCACTACCTGTTCCTGGCCTCCAGGCTACTAGAATAGGAGACTTCACATAAAGTTTCATAGGTCATCCATTCATCTCTTGCTGTGTTATATTAGAATATAAAAAAATATGCATTTTCATTTACCAAAATATACACTTCTTAATTTTTGAGAATAAATGACATTCTATTTCAAATGGTATATAGGCTAAAACATATTTGATGTGGCCTAGCCTGGGAAATACACTTATCTGGCAATGCACTGAATGAACTTCTAATGTATGAAGAGAGTTCCAATTAAGGCTACATAATCTCTGTGCTAGATACCTTGGTATTACCTGTGGTAACAATGGCCCAAGATGTACCTGTTCTAATCCCCAGAACCTATGAATATACCACCTGTTGTGGTAAAAAGGACTTTGCAAATGTGATTATTAAGAACCTTGAGATGAGGAGATTATACTGAATTACCCAAGTGGGCTCAATCTAATCACATGGGTCCTTGAAAATTGGGAACCCTACCTGGCTATGGAGAAGGAGAGATGTGACTACAGAGAATGGTCAGGAAAATGCAATCAAGATCCAAGAATGGTCAGAGATATGACAAAGGTGGAAGAGAAAGGGGGGCATGAATCAGTGTATTCAGGCAACCTCCAATAGCTGAAAACCTCAAGGAAATGGATTCTCCACTAGAGCCTCTAGGAAGAAACACAGCAGTGTCACCACCTTGATTGTAGCCCAGAACACCATGTCAAACTTCTGACCTCCAGAAGTTTAATGCTAAATCAGTGTTCCTCACTTGTTTTTCCATTGTCCTTCTTATTCTATATTTCTTTTTATTCACTCCTTCATCCTGAGTCTCTTTAACCTCATTTTCTCCATCATCCCTTTCTCTTCCCTATTTCTTAGTACTCTATCTCCATTCCTGTACCCCCTCCCCCTTTCACTCCTACATTTCATCCATTTGACCCTCATTTCACTATGTTAGTCTCTCAATCTCTCTGCTCACCACTGTCAACTCTCTACCTTAAAACATTTACTGGTCTAGATAAACTGGACTATTGTGAACCTACCCAAATTTATGGGAGACGGAGAGATTGGAAATAGTCTGGGAAGCAGAATATTCTTAAAGAAGTGTCTCTTCCACTCTCACTTCAAACACAAATAATCACAATGCTAACAGGCAAAGAGGGAACAAAAGTACTTTTTAAATAATTCTCTGAGTGTATTGACAAATAGAAATAATTTACAGTGACCATATTCATTCTTTGAATGTATAGAAAGGTAATTTATTGAAGCATTAATTTTGTTTTGTCCTTAGTAGAAGACTCAAAAGAATGAGGGCTCTCCTACTGCATTTCATTTTAAAAAGGCCACTCTCTTGTTAGCATAGTCTTAGGGGTTAAAAACAAAGGTAGTCGGACACCTGCAAAATAAGCACCCAGGCTTTTGTTGAGGAGCTTGGGCTGTTAGAAGGGCCATTAGAAAGGTGTGTGCTGAAATGTGAGGAGGACAAGTATCCCCCATCACAAATGGCCTCTAGACTAAAGATGGGTTTGGGAGATCTTTGGGTGGGGAGGAGGGCAGGGTTCCTAGAGTAGCCCAGACTTGTGTCCCTAAAGGGAAGAGCCTCTATGATGAGATAACACTTGGACACCTGGGTGGCAAAATTAAGTCACAGCTTTGCAGCCATATGAAAGATTTTGTGCCCACATCTGGCCCCTCAAAGGAATCACACAGGGTTGGACAATAAGACCTTATAAAAAGGCTAGGACAAGATTAGGGGCTTCAAACTCAGGAGGACAGAGACATAGACCCTTGCAGACCCTTAACCAAAGAAAGGGGAGAGACTCTCAAAATCCGGCTGAGGTAAAATTTTTTCTGCCATGATAAACTACAGATCTGATTCAGAGTAAGATTAATTTAAAACATGGAGACTTCCCCCAGATTTTTTCTTAAATGTCATTTCTCCACAGGCATTACCAGTCACCCTACCTATAATTATAATATTTCTGCCTCACCCCTTCTCTATTTTTTCCCCTTAGTACCTTCCACCAACATAGTTTTAATCATGATTATTGTCTATCTCCAACACTACAAGGCCAAACATTTTTGTCTGTCTGTGTGTCCTGCTGAATTCTTGCTGCTTAAAACAGTGCCTGACATGGGACAAACAGTCGGGAAACACTTGTAAAATTAGTAAATTAACATATCATAGAAAAGGGAAATCCCTACTTCTAGAAAAGAAAAAGCTACCAGAATCCTTACTTTTTAGGGAGGCTTAGCATTGAATTAGTGGAAAAATTAATCTTAGCTTAAAACCCAATCAAACCTCTAACCTAATTTCAGAGTTTCTTTCTAAAAAAATTTCAGCAGCCTGCCCTCCCTTCTCACTGATATAAAGACAATTGTGCATTTCCAGGGCACCAGTCCTCCAAGCAGAGAAAGCCTCATCATCATCATCTCCAAAAGCCCCCCTTTTCCAGCCTGCAGCTTTCCTAAGCACCTGTCTTATTAGACTTTATTTTATTCCTGAGTAGTTCTAGACTACAAAGGGCCAGCAATTATACTTAGATAATCAGTTTCTGTAAAACAAATCCATTTCTAAATTGTAGATGGCTCAAATTAGCAGTGATTTCCAAAACTATCAATATATCTCTCATCTGTACTAAAAACACAGTAGGAAACTAATAAATACTTATTGGTTAATTGATTAATTCTCACAACATATGCCATTTCTTAGAAAAGCCTTTTTCCAAAAGGGTACATAAACATCTTCAGTGCAATACAACTTTCTGGAATTTTCACGCTGTTCTA